ATTTATTTATTTATTTATTTATTTATTTATTTATTTATTTATTTATTTATTTATTTATTTATTTATTTATTTATTTATTTATTTATTTATTTATTTATTTATTTATTTATTTATTTATTTATTTATTTATTTATTTATTTATTTATTTATTTATTTATTTATTTATTTATTTATTTATTTATTTATTTATTTACATGTACTCAAGTATATTTATATTTACTAATTTATCTTTATACATATTTATAGTTTATTATGTTTAAATTTAAATTTTTAGTTCTTAAGAAATAGTCCAAACAATATAGTATCTGTAACACCCCGATTTTAGCGATCTAGTTACCTTAATATTTTATTTTATTAGTCAGTTAAATAAGATATTTTATGAATGATGTGATTTATTGTTTGATCATGTGTTGTTCTGGCAGGTAACGTTGACCGATAAGCTCTAACAATTTTAAGTGGAGAAATATGTAATAAATTAAAGCTTAATCAGTTTATTTTGAAATAGAAAATACTTTTAATGTTAAATTTTTTAAGAGAAAATCAGCTACCCAGATCAGTTAATTGGGTCAAATAAGTATGCTTATTATTCTTTTTAAAAGCCCTTTAGGAGTACTCGTGTGTAGGTTTATATATGCTAAGCCCTAAAATTTCCCGCATACGTCAATATTTCTTCCCGTAGCAGCAGTCCTCTTTTCTCTTCCTCTCGAAGTACTTCTCCCTAAATTCAATCAAGAACTTCTATTCGAGTTACAGATCACCATCTTGCCCGGTAAGCTTCTGAGTCCTCTATATGTTTTATTTGCTACCGTGAGAACACCATTAGATTTTGTAATCCTACTAGTTTTGGGGTTAATTGTTTTACCTCTTGGTGTGAAATTCAAAAGTTTCCCTACTGCTATTTCGTGTTTCCACCTACTTTAAGAGATTGCTAGCAATATAATTCTTTTATATTGAGCAAGTTTCTGCCGTTGCAGTGGGGTAGGTGTCATACAAGTCTTCCTGAACCAATTTGTTATTTTGGTAAAGGGTGTATTTTCCTAAGGAGTTTCTCTATTGATTATTATTATATTAGTTCGGATCAATTATTATTATGGTGAGAGTTTGAATTCTTTGCTACGGGTCTGTTCTCAAAATTGATTTTTGAGTAGTCAGTAAGATGTGTTTATTAGATTGGGGCTTCTTCTTTTAGTGAGAGTTTCTTTTAGTAAAATTGATTTTCCTAAGTTACCTAAGATTGATTTGATTTTGTTGCCGTCATATTGAAAACGCAGGCTGCTTGTGTGTATCTTATTTTGAGGGCAAGTTCTACAGCTTTGGGGTTAGTAAAGAATAATCTGGATTTTAAGTGTGCCGCAAACAGATTTCAAAATTTAAAATTTTTCATATTCATTCGAAGTTATTCTTTATAAGTCACAGCAGCAGCAGTTTTCATATTGAGAAAACTGACTTCTATGCTAGTCTTTATTTTGAAGGGGTTATGAACTGCGGCATGATGGTATTATAAAAAAATTTGAAGTTTGTTTTAAAGTTAACTGGGAGATATCGTTTGTGCTTTTAACCGTAGGAATTGAATTTAAAGTTTTAGCTATTTGGCTCATTAGACAAGAATTCTAAATTCTGACTATTCTAAATAAAGATTTAAGTGAAGAGCTTATCGGAAGACGTTATCAAGGTGCCACACTTAATTGAGTAATTTGAGTTCAGCTTCTTCAGGTAAGTTCACTACCACCTGTACATGTTTGTTCAACCAAATGCAAGAAAGAAGTCTGGTTGATTTTTAATAGATAATTTTAGACTGTTTGCTATTATGTGAACTATGTGAATTATGTGATGAGTTATTTTATTGCTAGATTAAGTTATGTTTATTATCTGGCATAGTCAAGATTTGTTAGTACTTTTGTTTCCAGATTTAATGATGTTTTTAGTCAAACGTCACCCTAAAAAGAACTAATACTTAAAGTGAAAGATTAAGTGATATGTACTCGGGAACTAGTTCCCTCAGATTAGCAGTTTTAGTTTTAGATAGTCCGATATGTTTAGTGGGTCGCTCCCCTGAGCTGTCGGATTGGCGCCATTGAGTACATATCACGGGCCCACAGAGTAAAATTAGCCACAAAGAGTTATACAGAAAGTTTAATGAGATCTCTTTCAGAAAGTTTTATAGCAAGTTGTTTTTTTAGATCTCTTTCAGAAAGTTTTACAGAGATGTTCTGAGAAAGATATTTTGAGATCTCTCCAGCAGCTTTGAGAAATTATTTTAGAAAATATTTTCCTTTTGAGATCTCCCTCAGAATGTATTTGAGAAGTTATGTGTTATTTATTTGTTCAGTGCATGCTTATAGCCTAAATTTATCTATTGATAAATTGGCCTAGACTTCTAGATATTTTTGTGGAACCATAGTGACTTACTAAGCGTAAAGCTTATCAGTTTTCTTTCTTCGCATGTACAGATACTAAGGGTAAGGCCAAGGCCTAGGAAGATGATGAGAGAGTGGAACGCGTGCCAAGATGAGTTAACGGGAACGACCTTGGCGGCTTCTAGCTAGATTTTATTTTGTTTTCAGTATTTCAGTGTTATAATTAGGTGATAAATATTACTTTATTTTTATTTGAGGATTTGAAGTTTAGTAAATTCCTGGATCCAGGTGGTTATCACATTTGCTGGTGATAACTATATTTTATTGAGTTTTTATTTGGAGCTATATGTTAGTTATATTTGAGATTTTATCAGGGTTATTTTTTTAAATAGGCGGCCGTTATACTGAAATTTATTTTTAAAAGCAGTAGATTAGTGTAATGTTTCCTTTAACCCTGAGAGGGGTGTTACAGTATCTATTTTTGTACTTAAAGATTATAATTTGTGCTTGAATTTTAAATTTTAGATATATTTTCTCATTATTTTTTGTGTAAGTATTTTTTATGTATGTGGTGAAAGACCTATAAACATTATAAGCGTATTAGCAATTTTTAAATGTTGTAATATTATTTATTATAACCCAGGCCGCTCTTACGGGCGGGTGTGGACATGAGGTTAGACCCGTTTTCGCGGGCCGGGCCCGCCCACACATGATGGGCATAAAATATTGTGGGCCCGCCCACAGATGAGGCATGTTTTTGCGGGCCGGGCCCATCTAGTGCTAAAATATGACTATCATTCTTATTTTCAAAATATGATTAATTATTGCCATATTTTGGCGGTACGCCACATTAAACATAATAGTATTTTTCAAGTTTGACAATAGTGCAGTAGTGAATTGTACGAATGCATATGAAGGAGCAAAATATGCAAATGTTAAGACATAAAGCATGAAAGTGAAATTTACATGTTTAAATGTGCATTTGAATAAAGGTGGAGCTTTTTATTTTTTTGAGATCAGGATTCTGTGGATATTTACATTCCAATAATACAAATAGTTCTATAAATGAAGAGGACTAAGAGGAGGATTGAAGTGAAAAATAAATTTCAATATTTTAGTGAATAAGGAATTTACTTGTCCTAAATTGGAACACACGTATGCACTTAAATGGTAGTTACGACAAACTATCAAACATAATAATACAACCTCCTAAGAGCATCTCTGATGCTAAAATGTGAACGGTGCATACGTGGCATCAGAGATAGCCAATTAAAAAATAATACTAGCTCCGTCCCATTTTATGTGTCTTAGTTTGACTTGGCACGATTATTAATGAAGTGGTTGAAAAGTAAAAGTTGTGCTTGTGGTTTGAGTATAATAAAGTGAAATGGTGTAGATCACATATTTCTTTCCAAAAGATGAAAGTAGACACTTATTTTGGGATAACCCAAAAGATGACAGGTAAAATGGGACGGAGGGAGTACATAAAATATCTCTCTCTTTATTTGAAGGATCTTGTATCATTTTGGTAAGTTTTTCTCCACAATGTCAAACACAATGTCTAGATGTAGACATTGTGCTTGACATTGCAGAGGAAAGCTTACCAAAAACACATAAAACCGTGGAAAGAATGAGAGAGAAATGTCATAAATTCATTTTGTTGTGTGTATCTCTCTCATGCCACATGTGCACCGTGCACATTGTAGCATTGGAGATGCTCTAAACATGCCGAACCCATTAATTGACTAAAACATCGGTCAATTAAACTGCCAACAAAAAAGACATAAGTGCCCTCTACTACCATTTATTTGATCGCAAATCATCACTTATTTTGGAAGGCTAGGATTTGTTCTCACATCTCACATTAAGAGGCGTTCTCATTTGAACCATAATCTATTTATATATATATATACACACACACTAATTTATTTATTTATTCATTCATTTACATGTACACAAGTATATTTATATTTAGTAATTTATCTTTATACATATTTATAGTTTATTATGTTTAAATTTAAATTTTTAGTTCTTAAGAAATAGTCCAAACAATATAGTATCTATTTTTGTACTTAAAGATTATACTTTGTGCTTGAATTTTAAATTTTAGATATATTTTCTCATTATTTTTTGTGTAAGTATTTTTTGTGTATGTGGTGAAAGGCATATAAACATTATAAGCGTATTAACAATTTTTAAATGTTGTAATATTATTTATAAAGTATGAAAAAAATTTATATAATTTGGAAAAAATTAAAGTTTTCCCGGGCTAGGCGGCCCGGTGGACTACCCGAGCCGCTCTTACGGGCGGGTATGGACATGAGGTTAGAACCATTTTCGCGGGCCGGGCCCGCCCACACATGATGGGCAGAAAATTCATGAAAAGCCCGTCTAGTTCTAAAATATGACTATCGCTCTTATTTTCAAAATATGATTAATTATTGCCATATTTTGGCGGTACGCCGCATTAAACATAACAATATTTTCCAAGTTTGACAATAATTAGAAAAGCATAACATTCCTTTTTTAGAAATTTCAAATTTTCTTACTCATATATTTCAGAAATTTCCCCATAGATTAATTAATTTTGTAAACCTAGAAAATTCCGTTGACTAAATTTGATAGGAAACCACGACTTCTAGCCCCAACTTGGTATGTGTTTCCTTTTCCGTTGTACAGAATCTAAAACCCCGACCGCCCCCTACTTTTTCTCATCATGCATTCATGCCTACGCCTTTGTATATATTCTCCCACTCATGTTTTTTTCTCATCATATTCTTCTGCTGTCTTTAAGGTTGTCCGCCGCTACTGTCGCTGTTCCAACATGCCTTCACGCGCCCCGGTCACTGTCCGGGAAGTTTGGGCCCACAACCTCGAATCGGAAATCCAAATCATCCAAAATCTCGTCGACACTTACTATTACGTCTCCATGGACACGGAGTTTCCCGGCGTAGTGTTCAAGACCCAAAGTTCAGTCAGAGCATGGGAACGACGACGGCAGGGCTCCGCCGTCGAGCAGTACCGGCTGCTGAAACTGAACGTCGACGCATTGAATATAATTCAGATCGGGCTGACCCTGTCCGACCCGGAGGGGAACCTCCCCGACGTGGACGAATCCGGCGGCCGGTGCATCTGGCAGTTCAACTTCTCCGACTTCGATTTGGCGCGTGACCTCCACGCGCCGGACTCTGTCCTGCTCCTCCACGGCCACGGCATCGACTTCAACCGGACCCGGGAGCTCGGGATTGATTCGGCCCGGTTCGGGGAGCTGATAATGTCATCCGGTTTGCTCTGCAACGAGTGGGTGAGCTGGGTGACTTTCCACGGCGCGCACGACTTCGGCTACTTCGTGAAGATTCTGATGCAATCTCCGCTGCCGGATCGGTTGGAAGACTTTCTGGGAAATCTGACGGCGTTTTTCGGAAGCAGTGTGTACGACGTCAAGCACATGATGAAATTCTGTGAGCGGCTCTGTGGCGGGCTGGACCGGCTGGCCAAATCACTGGACGTGGACCGGGTGGTAGGGCAGTGCCACCAGGCCGGTTCGGACAGTCTCTTGACATGGCATGTCTTCCAAAAGATGAGGGATGTCTACTTTCACCATGGTGGGGTGGAAAAGTTTGTTGGTGTGCTATTTGGATTAGAAGTCTATTGAGCACATATATTTGTAGGCGTAGTTTTTTATTTTTAAATTATTATTACTCCGTAGTATAGTGATTGACTGGCTGGTATATATTTTTTATTTTTAATTTTTTGTTGTACTAATAGTAGAATGATAGGGATGGTGAGAGCTACACCCAAATAGTCCTTAGTACCTCATATTATACATATCCATTCTTAATGACTTTGTCATTTTTAGTAACACTTAAATATGTAAAAATAAAGCCCGTTTTATAACACTTCAATAGATTGTTGGTACTATGAGTCTGACCCATAGCCTAGATACGAAAATGAATACTTAATTCTAGTTCAACCCAAACAAAGGGTTAAAGAGCAAGCCATAAAATACCGAGTAGGGAGACCCAAATCTACTACGCGGTTGGCCATGACTGAGCCACTTGGACATCAGATGCTAGGCACAGTGATAATCCCGTGGAAGTCAGACTCTTCCTAGAGCTTATGTGGCAAAAGTTCCATAACAGATGGACATGATATTGCCATCAGAAATAAAAAACGAGACATTAAAAACGAGAGTTATGGCAATAACGTTACAAGACTGCTATCATGAATAGAGTCATTAATTGTAATATTTAAGTCTCCTATTAATTGTACAATACAACACTTATAAATACTCTTGTACATGTCTTGCAAGAATGTTTTTACTTGGATTGTTTTCAGTTCCAGACCAGACCAGACTTAAACAGACTAAACCAGACCAGACCAGACCAGACCAGACCAGACTTAAGCAGATCAGATTGGACCAGACTTGAATTCCGTAGTTATAAAATACACAGAGACCAGACGTTCACATGTGCAAAAACGCCATTTAGAGGCGCTTTTTTTTGTGCACGTGCGGCGCTTTATGGCGCCTCTAATGAGTAGTGCCACAACACGTTTTTAGAGGCGCTTCTCTGGAAGATAGCGCCTCCATTTTTTTCTTAATTTTTTTTCTCACTGGGCGTGCGGCGCTTCTTTGCCAAAAAGCGCCTCTAATATTGAAAATATATGTGATGCGTGCGGCACTTCTTTGCCAAAAGCGCCTCCAAATGTGAATTTCACAGATTTTTTAGAGGCGCTTTATCAAGTGAAGTGCCTCTGAAATTTTATTAAATTACAAACATTTGTATTAAAAATTCAGCTAGATTCTCTGCTTTATAATACGTAAAACTAATTCATACAATCAAACATATCCAATAAAAATAGTACCATATCATGTATCAAACGCATAATGCAGTACGTGTTTTCATTAAACATCCAATCAACATTCATACATTAATACAAAGTACAAATTGTTTCGCTATGTAGTTTTTTCTCAAATTTGCAATACTACATCAAGACAATATCTTGACCATACATTTCTGATTACATTGAGCTCCGCTAATGTGTATGGTTCACTTCTTGAACGTCATACCTGCAATATTTATTGAAAAATGATCACAAACATATTCAAACTTAATTACAATATAATATTCATATAATAAATAGCTTTGCAAGCTCACAATTTATTCATACCTGTCCAACATCATAATTTTCATAGCGTCTCTATTTGACGTTTTTCCACTAGTGAAGCAAAGCAAGATGCGAGACCAGTTATTAACAAAAGAGAGAGCGCTAAAATTCAACAACATAGTTAGCATATTTACTTTAAAAATATATACTATCATATATAATTATTATTATACCATAATACAACTAATAATAACTCATATTCCAAGCAACAATTTGATGTGAACCTGTTAATCCGAAAATAAAGACATTCACATTATTATATTCACTATTTCACTTAATAGCTAAAAAGAATAAAAATCTCCAAAAAGTAATGCCTAGTACTTCGTATAAAAAGTAAAATATTCTAAAAAATTAAATGAAAATATACTGACCTTTAGCTTGCGGCCTAGAGAACGTTGGGCATCTACGGTCTACGGATCTACCGAAGTCCGAGAGCACTCGACGGTGATTGAAATTCACAGCGGCGGTGACAATCAGAGCAATCAGCAGCCACAAAGATACTCGTCGAGGCGGCGGCGGCAAGGAGAGCAGTAGGCAGGGGCGGACCCAGGAAATCCGTCTTGGGGGGGTTCAAAATATTTTTTGGGGGGCGAAAATTATTTTTTGAGGGGCGAAAATTATTTTTCGTGTATATATACCCTAGAATTATTTTTGTTGGGGGGGCGGTTGCCCCCCTGGGTCTGTACTACGGTCCGCCCCTGGCAGTAGGTGGCAGCGGCCAAGAGACCAGTGGACATTGGCGCAGCACTCGGCGGCAAGCACAGCGTCAGTCAACAAGGCTGGAGTTTCTTTCCGGTTTGCGTGACAAGGCTGGACTATGGAGTTACGATGATCTATATTCGATCGTTTTGAAAAGGGCCTAGGGTTAGCTAATTGAAAGAGAAAATTACCTACATAGGACTAAAATATATCATTTATGCACAAATAGGAGTGCTGCTTAACGAGAAGTTTAGGGGGACTAAATAGCATGTGTCATGACATAAATACCCTTACTGAATCCCTGAGCTTAATGAGATCGGTTCTGTAACTAATACGGCCCAACACCTCCTTTTCAAAACTCGCGCCTACATTAATTACTCAGCCGTTAAGCAGTTGATTGAATCAATCGAGAGAGTCCAAAGCATTCAATGGCGGATTCCGATACGCAGAAGGCATTAGCGGAAGAAAAAAAGTAAAATACAACATCTAAAGTTGTAGGAGGAAGCAAAACGACCAGAGAAGAGCCTAAAATGGCGGATTCCGACTTCGAATCAACAGGCCAAAAAGTAAAAATGAGGCGAGACCTGGTACGATTTTATGTTGTCAATATCAACATTGTTTGATTCGTAAATGGAAATAGTGACGATGTTTGTTTGAATTCGAAGTCTGGAATGATATTGTTCTGCTAATAATTGTATATTATTGTCATTTTTGTGTGTCTAGTGCTTGAACAATGGTTTGTGTGTGGTTTTCGTTCCTAGTGCCATATTTTCCTAATATTTGTGTACTGAATCAAGTTTTATTAGTTGAACTGAATGTGTTATAGAAGAGATGATAGCCATGGTTGTGCGATTTAGGTATTTAGGAATGGCATTTTTGGACTTACAAATGAGATCATTTGAATTTTTGTCATATATATACACACACATATATATATATATATATAGTGATGCTTTCAATTCATAGAAGGTGAAGCACAATTTCAAAGTAAGTATTATGGTGAATCTCATCTGAAATGGAAATAATGATAAAAATTATGTCATTAAAATATATCTTAAATAGTGATGTCAATATGTAAAATAAAAATGATGGTATGTAGAGTACTGGGTTAATGTGTTACAATGCCTACATTTGTTATTAAATGTCATATTATATTGAAACTGTAAAACGTATACATATGTGCTTCTTTTTTAATACAACTGAATTGTCTTGAATATCATCTGAAATGGATATACCATGAAAAGGATGACATTTAATGACATGTTAATTATAATAGCTTTTTTAAATCATGTGCACTAATACCATCTTTTTTACTGTACTTCAAATGTAAATCTACATGGAAATATTGATATAATTAAGTGTTTACTGCAGACTATAACGAGGACATGTTATAGAGGATTGCTGGATAAGTTTGAAAAAATGCGTGTGAATTGCTTTTGCAATTTGAGTGAGGTTGGTAAGCGAATCAAGGAAAAGTTGAATGAAGAAGAAATAACACTTTTTAGAAGTTCAGTTTTAGGCTGGATTCTAGATATAGAACATATGCCACGATTAAGTGGGCAACTCAACATTTGTTTCGTAGCAAACTATATTGAGGAGTTCAATGGTAACGTTGAAAAGGATGTTATAAGATTCCATGTAGCCAATAGTCTGATAAGCTTTACAAAAGCAGATTTGGCAATAGTCACCGGTTTGAAGATAAATGGGGTGAAACCGGCAGTATCTGATAACGTGGGTGGGGATATGTGCAGAAGGTATTTTGGTACCAAAGAAGTAATAGTGAGGCAGGATATTGTTCAAGCTTTGGAGAGGTACAACAGAAACAATCCAGGAACAGAAGAGAATGATGGTCTTAAACTAGGACTACTCTATGCTTTAGCACATGGATTGTTTGGAAACCAATACGCGATTCGCTTGCCAGGGAAATATATTAACTTGGTACAAGACTTAGATGCATTCAATTCTTACCCTTGGGGTGATGATGTCTGGGATGATCTAGTCGCAAATATGAAGAACAACGCAGAAGCACTCAAGTTCTGCACACGTAAAAGAGTGGCGTTCACAGTTGTATGCAAGCAATACAAATCTGGGCCTTCGAGACCTTTCCAATATTGGCTAATGAAAGGCTATGCTATGTTATAAAAGACAAAGAAAATGTCATTCCTAGGACATTGAAGTGGGCTTTTCACAAGAAACCATCAATACAAAAATTTTGTGAACTCATTTTCAGTAATGACAAGGTAATTTCAATTAAATTATGCACAATTATTTATGTAAATAGTTACATTTCCATACAGTGAATAAGTCATATATTTTTTATCTAAGTTTAATTGCCAATGTTACAGTTTGAGTGGACAAAAATAGTTCCAAGTGCAGATGAGATCCAAAGAATCCAAGGACTTGTAGGAGGGGAAAGCAATGAAGCAAAGGACCTGAGAATTGATGCAACCATAAAGAACACAAAGCAGAGCAAAAAGGATGCAAGAGGAAAAAAAGGAAAAGAAATACAGAGAGCAAATTCAGGAGGAAACAATAAAAGAAAAAAGGCAGGACAGAAAGAAAAAGGAGAGTGCAGTAGGCGAGTGTTGAGAAAACAAGGTAAGGTGGTTGATAGTGAAGAATCTAGGTCCAATGAAAGTGGGGATGAGTCAAAGGCAGGAAAGGGCATAATCATGAAGACACTAGCCAAGCAGTCCAAAGAAATTGCCAATATGCGTGCAGAGATAAAAGAAATGAAAATAAATCAAGATGCAATGCTAAAGAAGATTCTGAGTCTTGTGAAGGAAATATCAAAGACAAAAGGAAAGAAGGAAGTGATGAAGGACAGAGAGGACATGGAAGATGAAGCTATGAAGGATATCAGTGATGAGCACAGTAGCACGGATGGCAATGAGAGTGAAAGCTCTGAAGAAGATTCTCAGGAGAATGACAAGGTAATGAAATAAAAATGTTAATTTCCATATGAGAAGCTTATTTCCTATTTATATGGCATTAAATACCAAAGGTTGAGTACATATATAAAATGAAGTTAGTATTTGTTGTAGGATGAAGCTATGAAGGATGTGAGTGATCAGAAAAGTAGCACGCCTGACAACGAGAATTAAAGCTCTGAAGAAGATTCTCAGGAGAATGACAAGGTAATGAAATAAAAATTGTAATTTGCATAGAACACACTTATTTCCTATTTATATGGCATTAAATACCAAAGGTTTAAGTGCATACAGAAAATGAAGTTAATATTTGTTATAGGATGTGAGTTATCAGAAAAGTAGCACACCTGACAACGAGAATGAAAGCTCTGAAAAAGATTCTCAGGAGAATGACAAGGTAATGAAATAAAAATTGTAATTTGCATAGAAGACACTTATTTCCTATTTATATGGCATTAAATACCAAAGGTTAAGTACATATATAAAATGGAGTTAATATTTGTTACAGGATGAAGCAATAAAGGATGTGAGTGATCAGAAAAGTAGCACTCCTGACAATGAGAATGAAAGCTCTGAAGAAGATTCTCAAGAGAATGACAAGGTAATGAAATAAGAATGGTACTTTCCATATGAGACACTTATTTCCAATTTATATGCCATTAAATACAAAATGTTGACTTACACATATAAAATGAAATTAATATTTGTTGTAGGGGAAGCAGAAAGATGAGCAGCAAGCTGATGATACAGAAGTTGACAATGAAACAATTGCCCAAAGAATTGCTAAAATGAAGAACGATGCTCCAAATTTTAATCTCTTAAGTCAGACTCATGAAGGAAAAGAGCTAAGTGAAGAGACAATTGCCCAAGGAATTGCTAACATGGAGAACGATGCTCCAAATTTTAATCTCTTAAGTCAGACTGATGAACGAAAAGAACCAAGTGAAGAGACCCAAGGAATTGCTAACATGAAGGACGATGCTCCAAATTTTAATCTCTTAAGTCAGACTGATGAAGAAAAAGAACTAAGTGAAAAAGAAGAAATCATGATTAATTTGACTGGGAGTAAAAGAAACGCAGAAGGTGGGCCACAGAAAGAAAAGGTAACAACATACAAACTATTGTACTTTAATTCCATAATTGTAACTTATATGGCAATAGGTGTACAACAGAACACGAAGGATTTAATGCCAGTAACATGGAAATAGTGGCGTTGTGTAGCACAATGGAATATTAAAATTATATTGTATGCAAAATTAGGGTGAAGTGATCTAAATATTACATGATATGTGCACTGTAATGAAAATTTAATGAGATAGCTAAGCATTTTTTATGTAATTTTATGCAGACCACAAATAATATTGAAGACGGTAAAGAACAGGCAGAGGGATCTGGAAAGGAAAAGGATGAAAACAAAAAACAAAAAATGCAAAGTGATCAGAAAACTTCTGAGGAAGCAGACAATGAAATTTGGAGTCAGGAAAACTCACAATTCATTAGAGAATTGGTTATGAATGCCGAAATGACTGAAAGACTAATGCTTGGAAAAGGAACCTTGCAAGAGGACAAGGAAACAGAAGATAAGGAGACAGAAGATATTCAAAGCAAAGTGCAGGTGATGACAGTAATTTCAATCTAAACTTTACATTATTACATTAATGTCATGTACAGTGAATAGATTACTGACTTGAGCTTGTTTGTTGTTGACTAAAACTGAAAGAAAACATCTATAAAAACTCAAAGGACAAAAAGAAGAGCCAAATCTCCAGATAGATACACACCAGCGGGGCAGAGTGCTGATGCAAAAAGAAGAAGAAAAGAAAGAGCAAAAAGAGTGGTAGAAGAAGAATTCTTACCACCATGTAAAGAGATGTATGGGCCGTTCTCAGAAGACCCAACAGACGCTATTGATCAAGAGGAAGTGAATAAATTCACAGAATACTTGAAGATTGGGCTGATGAAAAAACCAAAGAAGGAACACAACGTGATTAGAAGATACAAGGCCGACTACGAGATAATGTCCAGTAATCCTTTGATTTTGGACACCATGAAGATAGAGTCAAAAACATGGTTGCATGATCTGTTTGTAAACCACCAATGGCTGTCTGACAAGGTATAGTATATTATTCAATTTAAATTAATAAACATCATATTTTATTATTAACTGCTTTTCTGCTAGTAAATGTGTATATTGTGTTTTTATGTTCAAAGACATCTTAAATGGAAATAAAATGAAGAAGATGGCATTAGAAGACAGGTTAATTATAAGATATGGTTGTAATAATGTCCTTTAATACCATCTTTTTTACTTTATTAACTTTTTTTGCAGCACATAGAAGTGGGGATGTATTATCTAGAACGCAAGCGAGTGCACTACAAGTTGAGGCAGAAATACACAACAACAGGACCTTTTTTCATGGAACTGCTCAAGAGGGAACATGATATGATTTTAGACAGAAAGACAACACTGAAAGACGCAGCAGAGAAGGGGAATATCTGCGAATACATTCTGGGGACTTCAACAAGCTACTCGCTGCACTGGGCAGATGCTGACTTCGTCTATATCCCTTTGAACACTGGGTGTCATTGGGTGTTGTTGGTCTATGAAGTAAAGGCAAGGAAGATGAAAGTCTACAATTCGAACAAGAGAAGAGGTGAATCCCTACGTGACATCGTCGCATACAAAACTTGCATTCAAAATATGCTACCCAAAGTTCTGGATTACCACACTGTCTATGAAGCTATGGAAGAAGAACCAATGGGAGTGAGACAAATTTCTATTGAAAATGCTGAAGATTGCCCACAACAGGACACAGCGTAAGAAAAAAATTAATAACTTAGCCACATGAAATAATATTGTATGAAAAAAACTAATAGAAAGGGTGTTTGTTGCAGGGGAAATTGTGGAATGTTTCTTCTCAAAATTGCAGAGTTCCTAATGATGAATATGGACCTCAACGAACTCAATGCTGCAATGATGTATATGTTTCGAAAGAAAATGACTTTGGAGTTGATTCAATACAGCAGCAAAAGGCAGAACAAGATACAGGAGAAATAGAGCAAAAGGCAGACCAAGGATATCTTTAATGAAATATGTGTTGAGTGAATGAGATTAAACAGACATGTAGTTGGGTTTGAATGTTTCCATTCTTGTACTGCTTTTTTACGTTTATTTCTTTTGTTTTGCAAAGCTACTTGTGTAAAACATAAGACATGTTGATTAGAATTGCTGAAACGTTGGCATATAGTGACATTTGGTTTACCTTGCTTGGAAATTATTGTCACTATATTTGGTCTTTAAATAACAAGTACATGTTTACATTAATGACATTACTTGACAAGTACACAGAAGAACTTGTCAATTATTGACACAAAATAATGTACAGTAACATGTATTTTGAGGGAGTTTAAATAATAGTGACATTATTGAAAAAAATATACAAACAAAATAAAATAATCATTGAACAGAGATCTGAAGCTTGGTATACACAAACATTTGTAACAAAGACAATGTTTTCCAACAAAGACATAATATGTTTTATTACATCATATTACTTAAGAACGTATAAAAGAAGCATTTCCAATGTTTGCCAACAAAGACAATAATGACACTCCCTACTCTATTAAACAGTATCAATGTTTTCACGAGGAATTGGATTGCCACATGTTTTTTTGTTGTGTCCAACGGCATGACAACGAGAACACCTTCGACGTTTTGATCCACGAAACTCTCCAATAGAAGGAATTCTACATTTCTTTGGACGGCCAGGAGGTCTCTTCAAGCAATTTGGAGGCTTGCATGCAATGCTAAGAACACTTTGTGGAATTGACCATGAATTTGGATCCGGAATTGGATGCATGGTACCACTCCATGTAGACAGCCATGCGTCACGAGAATAATAAGGAGAAATGAAATCATAACAAGAGAGTCCTGGTCGAATACGAAGAGAAGCAACACCATGTACACAAATGAACTGATCCAACTGAAAGACACCACATGAACAAGTCTTCTTTGAAAGGTTAACAACAAATGATCGGCAATCCCTATCAACAACCTCGAACTCCAAATATGAAGATGGTTTCACCTAGATGGAGGGAAGTGTAAAAGTGTTACAAAATTCATTATAAAATAGAAAATTTGAAACATTATTTGACATGGCACAAAATGTTCATAAGACAGTGCAGCATGGAATTAAACAACAACACAGAATGGCAATAAGTAACAAACTCCTATTCCAGAATACAAATGCACTTAAAAAGTGAACGTAATGCATAACCATTTAGGGAACCAAAAGTAATACCTGCATGTGTGTAGATGCATATTGCAATGACACCAATTTTTTTTCACGTTTACTTGACAAAATGGTGTTTACAAAATAAAACAAAACAAATGACATTAACAGAAAAGAGGATGGCAATAATTACTAACAGGATCCATGTCAAACAATAGTGAAACTGTCACTAATTCAAAGACTAAATCATGATGAGTAGAATGGAATTATGAAATATTTGTTGAATTACAGTCCATAAATAAAGAAATATGAATAACAGGACATAAATTGCAGAGATTATCTATAATGAATTAACAATAACAACTATATTGTTGAAGCAAGTTCATAAAAACCAGAGTACTAC